ATACCAGCCATAATTCCCATGGTACATGGGCCCGGTGGTCATTGGTTCCTCTAATTTTTAAAGAGAAGCCTGAAATCTGGATTTTTATGTAAATGCATCTGATGTTTAAATATCGACTTACATTAAAAAAAAAAAAATACTGTGATGACCAAACAACACAAGTCAGCAGATCACCAGCTCATGACCTCTATTATTTGGCAAATGGGATTTCCCAGAGGACTGGAACGCTGCTTATGTACGTGCCATTTCTTTAAAAAAGATATATACAAACATCAGTTCAGTTGACTTGAGGCTGCAAACCATCACAGGGGCCTCCTCATTAAAGGCCTGGAGTCAGGGAGGGGCCAATAAGAGAAGTCTCTGCCAATTTTATTTCTGTATACCTAGCCCCACCTCACTGATCAGATTGGGTATTCCTGAGGCCAGAGTTGTGTCTTATTCATAAAATTTTATATGCATAATTTTTTATAATTTTTTATGTGCTAGGCACTATGGAAACAGTGTGGCAGACACTGTTAGTTGCCTACCCAACTTCAATCTCTACTTCTTCCTGGTTAAACAAACTTCGGTTTTGTAAGAGCAGTAATGGACCCAGCCCTATGGAGTGAATCCTGTTCTCTTTGCAGGTGATTGGTCTAGGAGTGGCCATGTGACCCATGGTTGGGAACTTGCAGTGGGTAGGGAGATTATAAAAAAAAAAAGAGAGAAGTGTGACAGGAGAATTATTTTTGACCACCTTGACCATCTTTTTTTTTTTTTTTGCCTTTGAATATGATTTTACGGAGACTGATACCCAGAGTGGTGGCAGCCATTTTGTGACTATGAGGCAACGAACCCGAGACAAAGAGCCTATTGAAGAAGACAGAGCAAAAGGATGGAAGAAATCTAGGTCCTTAATAACATACCTGAGCTGCTGAATCAACTCTCATACCACCCTCCTCCTGAATTTTTATGTGAGATAACTAAATAGCCTTATTCTTCAAGCCCCCCTTAGTTAAGTATTCTATTACTTGAGATGAGTGAGACACTCTTGGGTAACCCACCATTTATCAGACAACGAGAGCCAGCAGTGAGTAAGCGCTTTCTATAAATTCCTCATAATAACCCAATGAAGCTGATACTTTCTTTATTCCCATCCCTATTTTACAGAGAGAAAAACTGAGTCCCAGAAAGATTAGACCACTTACCCAAGGTTATTCTGCAAGTAAATATTAACACCAGTCATTCTAACTTCAGATCTTGCTCTCTGAGCCACCTTGCCTTTCTGAATAAGTTTGCACTAAATCCTTGTTGAGTAAGTGAATGGAAAAGTAGTAGTAACAGGGCTGTTTGCTGCAAAGTGTTCCCATTGTCTGCACTTTCAAGATCGGGGTGCATCCAGATGTTCTTTATCTGAATCTGGAGCCAAGAGTTGCAGGAATCAGGCCACCCAGAGGGAAAAATCTGAATGACGTGGAATTTCTAGCACTAGCTTTGGTTGCAGGAATCAGGCCACCCAGAGGGAAAAATCTGAATGATGTGGAATTTCTAGCACTAGCTTTGGGCTCAGGGAGGAATCTCCTCGTCAGAGCCTTGAGTCCTTGAAGTTGCCCAGCCATTCCCGCCACCATCATCCCAGTGCAAGTCCTATTACCTCTGGCCCGGAAAATTGCAGAAGTCCCATGATGGGTCTTCCTGCTGTCACCTTTTGTCTCTCAATATGCCATAATGCACACAGCAGCTGGAAGAATCACTTCAAAACATATATCAGCACATGGGACTTCTCTGCTGAAAACTATCATGGTTTCCCAGCATTATGAGAAAAAACTCAAACTTATTCCTTAACCTTGACTATAAAATCCCAATGAAGCTCTCTGCATGGCTTGGTCTTGTTCATCTCTTTAAGATCCCTTCCCAAGCTCATTTCCACCGTAGGGCCTTTTCTCTTTCTGGTTCCCCTGCCTGAACCTCCTTCCTCAGAACTTCCCTGCCTTCAGGTTCTTCAGCTTAGATATATCGCCTCCTCTATGAAGCCTTCCCTGCCTCACCACCCTATCTAAAGTTGCTGACACCTCTCTCAGGCATCCTTTATCACTTCTTCTTGTTTACTTTTCTTCATGGCATTTATCATAATCCGAATGAGCTGGTTCAATTATTTACTTGTTTATTAACTGTCTTCCCCACCAAAATATAGTGGGTATAGGGACTTCCTGTTTTATCCTTACTGTACCTCCAATGTCTAGAGTAGTGCTTGGCAATTATTGGTGCTCACCAATTATCGAATGAGAGAATAGCATTTCCAGATTGGGACATACCTTTGCCTTTTATTAAATTATTCCAGGGTTTCTCAACTTTGGCACTATTGACGTTCAGGGCTGGAGAATTCTTCATCGTGGAGTTCTGTCCTGTGCATTGGAAATTGTTTATAGTAGCATCCCTGACCTCTGCCCACAAGACGATGGCACCTTGGACAAGGGTCATGCTGATGGAGTTGATGAGAAGTGAACAGGTTAAAGATATGTAATAATATTATGGAAACAAATCACTTAATCTTAGAAATGTAGAAAAGGGCCAGAGAGGGGAAAGACCTGCCCTTGGGCCCTTATGGCTTGTTCACAGCTTTTCTCCTCCAGAGCAGGGGCTTCGCGGTGGTATTTCCAGCACCTACTTACTTATCATGCGGTAAATATATATTTGCATAAACGAGGGGCACAATTACGCTCACTCCTTACTCTCTCTTCCCCTCATCTTGCTTTATTTTTTTCTTAGTAGTTATCACCAACCCTAGCCTTCCCCCACTAGAATCTAGAATTCCACTCTAGAATTAGATTTTAGAATGCAGAATGGAAGCTCACGAAACTGAGGGCTATTTAAAATTGCAATCTAACCCCCGCCCACGCCTC